CATATATATACCTCAATACACCTCTATATAGTATTATGATAGCTTTATATACTTTCATATGTATACATATATATCCTTGTCTTAATAGTTACATCTGTTGTCTAAATTGTTCGACTCGTAAAATTATTTACACACCGTGGTCTTCATTTCCTTACCCTATGGGAACCGGTTCGAGTAGACAAAATCCTAATAGGCCCACGGCAATATCAATTTGTGCACGCACTAGCGCACTCTCCTGATTGCCAGCCATATCCGGTCTATATGCAGGAACCGATTCACTAAATTACTATAGCTATTCCATTGAACTGTCAGGCGGTGAGTCGTGCACACTGTTGTATACGAGATGTTGTGACTTGTGAGGCATTTGAAACAAGATATCTATGCATATCAGGACCACTGATAATCGTTACATTCCATATATGCATACCTTTCAGGGGGAGACACTGGAATGAGCCAGGAATGTACCTTATATCACATTTGTTATCGTTCCGATCTGACGATTGGTCATCCATCTTTTGATTTCCCATTTACGACAGCGATGTAAATAAAAACAGATACATACAATGCCGACAAAAAATAAATAGAAACATGTGCGCGGTCATGTGAAAATAAGAAACCCTATGAAATGTGCACCGGCAAGCTATCCATAGCAACAAATGCCACAATTACACGGAATTGACGCTGGCTGAGTCTAGCTCTGAGTCTGAGGTTGCTCAATCGTCTCGTAGTGCATTTTTATCGTATGGTGATATGCATCCGGTAAGCCTTGAATAGTAGCAACCGATTAAAAGTAGTGGATATTCAGAATTCCAGATATACGTTGGCGAAATCAGACGAATTTGAATTTCTTCACCCCTCTTCACCATGCGGACATGCGTTGTGTGCGACAGCAAACCAGCGACTTGTCAGTGCCGTTGTAAAACTAGGGCTTTCTGTTCGCGACAGTGTCAGGTGTGTTTAATCGTTACTAGTCTACCTGTGATGGCAGTGTATCGTAAGAACTTCAGCGTAGCCGTGAATGCATATGCAGAGGAACCCGATCATATCACTTATACAAAAAATAACTGGTATTACCATGAAGCATAGCTTATAAGGCCTAGCACTTATAGTTGTATACTGTATGTGAACTTATGTTTAATTTTGTTACGATTTTGATTCTGAATGCTCTAGCTCTGTGTAGTTATATATGCAGGTCCGGGTATGTGCTTGTGTACGCAGTGTATTACTCACTAATGTGCGGAAAATCTCGTTCTCTTCAGTTTCACTGCCAGAAACCTACTTAGGCCGCATAGTAGTTAATCCGTGTCGTATCTTCTGTATCTTTACCTTGTAGGTAGAAGACTGGAAAGAACTGGGCCACAAAGGTCGCTGTCCGCGGAAGAGGAAAGTATGCCCTGAGGTATGAAAATTACAGGTTATATCGCTTATGGAAATTACGAACTCTATCGCTTTGGAACAGCGCAGGCTCGCAGATGATACTTTTTGATAGACAATATATATCACATCTGCAGCATAACTATAGTCTATGCATAACTACAGCCTAAGCATAACTATAGCCTAACGGTCCATAAATTACATATCTGCTTCCGAAAATATTTTGAGTGGGGTTGATATGGATTCAATGTTCACTTCTATCAACATATTGAGACAGAGCATCTTATTGCCGGAGGTTTGTTGTGTTGTGTGGGGCAATCCATTTAATACGTAGTATAGATACATCACAACGGTGAACAGAATAGCCTCTCTGTCGAACTCTGAAGTTAGCTGTATTGTCTGCATAGCTGGTCTTGGTGTCCACTGTTTTATATACACTTTCTCGACACTCGGCCCTTCACGATGTACTGGTGCACGGTCTAGCATTGTGGCTTCAGGTTACTCGCGATTGTATGCTTATTGTTTGCGCAACTTCCTAATTGAATCCTCTAATGTTTTGTTCCATCCGTAGAAGGGCTCTACACCGCGAAGTCTCCTCAAGGCGGGGGAACCGCTATCTAAGCTTGTGAACACACAGTATGTACCTGTGAATACGGGGATGCCTGTGATTGCAACAGCAACAGCAGACATACTTTACAATCCGCACCGTCAAGTGGGCGATAAGAATACTTCAGATGCATACGACAGCACGTGCAAGGCCTGTGTGGGATCTGGGTCAGATGGGCTGCTTGTAGACATTCATAAAACCAGCCCATACACCAAGTCGGCTGATAGAGCAATGGGAAAGGGGGATCGCGTCGTTGTTGTAGACTCAGTCATATGCACAGACCCGTATTGCCAAATACCATGCAAGGAGTGTACACAGGCATGCACGGATGTAGCGTGTCAAATGAAACAACTACAACAACCACAACAACCCGGACAACAATACCAACAGCAGCCGAACACCAAACAAGTGGGGCGACACAACTACAATCGGGGCGGTGTGGAAAAGGTCAACGTTCGAGTGGTTGGAAACGTCTTGTTGCATGATTCCGAGTTTGCGGTGCCAGCGAGTGTGTTTCCGCCGCTCAAGACAGGCAATGCCACTACAACGTTAAATGTGAGCACAGACACCAACACAGCGATATACACACCACACGAGCTGTCATGCGTACCAACGGGACTGGGCACCGACAGCACAAAGAGAAATCCCGATACACTGAGCCTGACGCACAATGTGTCGGTGAAGAAGTTCAGGCGGTCGCCACTGGATGCGATCCAGAGACATGTTGGGTTTGCCCAAAATATGATTTGCGAGACAAACCACCGCGAGGGCCCGAAATTCACAGAGTTAAACACAGGTACGAGTACAGGTACACTTTCTAGTGTGAGCCCTACAACTAGCAACACGGGTGAGAGCAATCCAGAAAGCAAGGAAAGCACGTGCTCTCCAGGACCTGAGTGGTCGGACGGTGGTAGCGGTGGTGGCCAGCCAATCAAATTGCAAGGATCGGGCCAGCATGCATGCCATTGGACAGGTTGTGGGTGGCGGTTCCACAACAAGTCTGGACTCGAGAGGCACCAGCGAATACACACCAAAGAAAAGCCGTACAGCTGTCCGAAGGAAGGGTGTGACAAAAAATTTTCTCAGCGCCATCATGTTAAGGCTCACTGTGCATCCGTGCACGACGAGGTCAAGGCGTGGCGGTGCTCTATGGACACGTGTGGCAAGAGCTTTTCGCGCAAAGAGAGTCTCACCAGGCACGAGCGTACGCACAAGTGAAGTGAGATGCAAGCGGGTGCAAGTACTGTGCTGTGCTGTGCCGAGAAGGGGTGTGCGGGTGTTACAATGGGGTCGTCGCCTGTAGAGTAGATACTCTGTCGCATTGTCGCCTGTACCAGTACGCACGAAGAGTCGGTCGCTTATCTCCATAGGTCGCCACACATGGCTTCGGGAGCATGGGCGTGTACACGCGTGTTCGCAGCTGCGCATGGGCGCTCGATGTAGGCACACGGCCTACGGCTGTCTGATCGATATGGCGAGTACGTGATTAGAAGGGGTGCGGTGTTCTACTGAATGTGGCGGCAGCTGATAGAACCAGTGCTCGCACACAACAGTACTGTAGGTTCTGATCAATGTGTATAGAGTGGTTGATGCTTTAACTAAAGCGACACGTGGTCTTGGAGATACTGGCCAGTAGTCAGTACTTACGCGACCACACTGTGCACAGATAGTGCACTTGGCACAGGATATCACTCATGCATATTCTAGTACCTCGGAACGAGGCCGAGAGGAACGATATATGTGATCTCAACAATGGAGTGGAGTGAGCGCCCCGTCTTCACAGATCCTCGGCATGTGCAATAACGTACGTGATGAGCTGAGCTGACTAATAGCTCTACAACACATAGTCGACATTCATACAACCAAATATCATGGTGATGTCACCAACATAAAATTGTAATATAACTATATAACCTGACAAAGTCTGCTTTACACCATTAAGGTGTCATACGTTGCCTCTTCATGTGATTTACTCGATTTGCCTCCTTGTGCGCATGTTGTGTAGGTAGTGTTTAAAGTGTTTTAATCAAACCGAACACTTTATAGGGATACTTTGAAAATTTATGTGTTGTGTAAGTAGTGTTTAAGGTATTTTAATCAAACCGAGCACTTTATAGGGTTACTTTGAATATTTATGTGTGCAAGTCCAAGTAGTTTAAATTCTATAAGCCAGACAGACATTCAACAGTCGTCGCACAATCCAAACTGGCTACATACATACAGACATCAAAGTATCAACACTGATAACCCCTATCAAATACAAATTTAATTCACACAAAATACCGGGCCGTAACACAACTAGCGAAGATTTTCACGGCATAGCCGCGTTATAACTTTGATGTCACCGCATGCATCGAAGTAATGGCAACGTCCCTGTGCATACTAATCCCTTGGGGCTGCTGCATACCACCTAGCAGCCTTACTCCGTCAGACCTTCTTAAATAGATAGAAGTGTGCCTGCTTCGTGTACTGAACACCTTTGCCCAGTGCAATCAAGTAGTCCGTCGACACCTGCGCTTGCACCTTCGCAGATTTGGGCACAAAGTACTCATCCAGGTTGTTCGTGAGTATCTCATACTTCCTTTCCTTCACACCTGTACTAACCGATGTTCTATGACTAACTGATTTGCACTCGTCTGTTGTCTCTGATACGGAAGTATCATCATCATCTCCATCTATACTTTCTGCACACTTCTGGTTGACAACACCCACTAATTCGTAGTCCCTGTCCAGCGCTGCAACACCAGCGTCGCCATGGCTATCATTGGCCAGCAGGAGCCCGCCCCTTGCCAAATAGGGCTTACACGCTCTACCTACCAAACCAGCATACTGCGAAATCAGCAAATCGAAACTATTCTCCGGCTCGCCGATTTTGGAAGTATAATCCAGTCCATAGAATACGAGGTTACAAGGTTCGATATATTCCTTGCGCGTGTGTACAAATGCGTAGTTTTCAGAAACCTTGAAGAATGCCTTGGCACGCTTATCATTGTCGACGTAGACCATATCCGGGATTACAAACGAGGGTGTCACATGTACATAGCTTCCAGCATACATGGCACGTTTAATAGCGTACTCGTGAGCGACAGTACGGAAGAGATCAAGACGTTCTTCGCCCTTTTTAGCGAAGAAATTGGTGTACAAATCGGGGATGGCTATCACTACACGCTTTGCTTTCACAGCTGGCGTTCTTTTTGCAGTTTTAGGCATGGTAATGGTTGTTGTTTGGATTGATAATCAAATAAGCAATGGCGTCTGTATTATCACAAATTCGAAGCACAAAGACGTACAGAGTCCACTGTCTATAACGTCACACCATTAATAGCTGCCAAATATTATGACCCAGTGTACCTATACATACAACAATCACCCAAGAGTTCCAAATTGCGAAGTTGTAACTAAATTACAGAATGGCTGAAAGGCACCATTGTATAGTACACTTCATGGGTATTTTGATTGTGTTTTCATATCATCAGGTTGAACTTCATGTTATTAAAATCGATTAATATAATACAAAGCTATAAACACTACTAAGGAGATGACAGCTTAAGTGCAGGGAAAGTATCGTTGTATTCTGTGCATATCACTTTAAGCGTCTAAATTCATTTCAGCAGCAGCAGCCTACTATTTAGATAAATACTCATTTACTCGCGCTATGTACGCCGGGCTACTGTACGACTGTACATATGTACGACTCAGTGACAGTCTTAGAAGTGACAGAACCACACAGGAGAGCAGCTGAGAAGACCAAAACGCGTTAAAAAAGCAAGCTTTATTCTAAATTTTCATTGGCTATCATGATATTCTGCAAGGCGTCTTTCATTAGGCCAATGTTCCCAATCCCAAAACGCGATGATATAAGGGGGTCTTTATCTGTGCAAAAAAACATGATGACAAACAGACGGCAAAAATACAATAAAAAACAGGCGAGGTTTCCGGAACTGTAGGAGTTCATTTTACTCCCGAGGGAATTCCCGTCTCGAGAGGTCCGGTGTCGATTAACAAGTACCGAACCTCACCTTCTAAAAAAGGACTGTGACGATTGTGGACTTTGGTCTGTGGTCTGTGGACTGTGGTCTGTGGACTGTGGAGTGTATGGGGCTATGAGCTCTCTTCTAGAGAGAGAGAGAGAGAGAGAGAGAGGCACTGGACTGCTGGATTGCTGCTCTAGCCCTTTAACATTCACCTATATTTGGTTTTCTCCATCCATTTTCGTCCTCTTTTGTGTAGATTGTCTTGTTGTTGTCAAAAGAACACGAAAGAGGAAACAGTTCGGTAGTCAGAAGTAAATAGTAGAGGGGTACATATGCTCTAGAAATATATATATATAGATTATAGGCACTGAGTATTACCGGGCAGACGGTCCTATATCCTCGATCTTTGCAGGCCATAATAGTGTGACCAAGTGGTCCAAAATCCAAATTCGCCAGAGAAAGGGCACATTCCGGACACTTTCATTGTACATTGCTTTCTCGTTGTGAGTTTGTGACCCGTGACACCGAGACGTGTCAAAACGAGTAAACGACAGTATCACAAGAAGAGAGAGAAGAAAGAAAAAATCATCAACATAAAACAATCTTCCATCTGATGCGCGATTGTGCGATATGAAAAAATATACTAAACACGAGAGCAGAAGGTAGTTGCTGAGCATAACGGTCACACGTATACAGCATACAGAGTATTTAGTAGTTGCAAACTAGCAAGGACAAAAAATGCCTTCTCTCCTTAACAAAGTCGACCCTGAGGGGCTCTTAGAGTACTCGGTAGTCTTCACCGACCGTGCCGTGAACCACATGTCCGCCAACTTCCAGCAGGTAATGAATCAGATCAGCACCACGCTAAAGAAGGTATACAATGCAGAGACAGTGGCGGTCATCCCAGGCACAGGCACCATCGGCATGGAGTCTGTTGCACGTCAGTTTGCGCAGGATAAGAAGTGTCTAGTTATTCGCAATGGATGGTTTTCGTACAGATGGACGCAGATCTTCGACATGGGACACATTCCTAGTGAACATAGCGTATACAAAGCATCGCGTACAGAGGACGCCCACCAGGCACCTTTCCAACCATACAACATCGACGAGATCGTCGCGGTCATCAAGAACGAGAAGCCCAGCGTTGTCTTTGCCCCTCATGTAGAGACTTCATGTGGTATGATCCTGCCCGATGACTACATCACAGCTGTCGCTGAGGCCACGCACAGTGTAGGAGGTATCTTCGTGCTGGATTGCATTGCCTCTGGAACTGTCTGGGTAGACATGAAGGCAACAGGTGTAGATGTGCTTATCTCTGCACCCCAGAAAGGATGGAGTGGTACACCTTGTGCCGGTTTGGTGATGATGTCGGCACGTGCGACTGAGTTGTTGGAGACCACCACTAGCTCGAGTTTCAGCATCGACCTCAAGAAGTGGGCACAGATCATGCAAGCGTACGAGAACGGAGGCCACGCATACCACGCTACCATGCCCACAGACGCACTGAGATGGTTCCGGGATGTTATTGTAGAGACTGAGGAATATGGCTTCGACAAGGTGAAGGCTAATCAGATTGAGCTAGGTAAGCGTGTGCGTACATTGCTTGCGTCCAAGGGCTTTAAGAGCGTTGCCGCCGAAGGGTTCGAGGCACCCGGTGTGGTAGTGTGCTATACCGACGACGCGAGCATCAAGAACGGAAGCAAATTCAAGGCCGCTGGTCTGCAGATTGCCGCAGGTGTGCCCCTTGCTTGTGATGAGCCTGCTGACTTTCAAACGTTCCGATTGGGTTTGTTTGGCCTGGATAAACTCAAGAATGTCGACCGCACGGTCTCGAATCTCGAGGAGGCACTAAACACGTTCGCTTAGATGGAGTGCGTGTTGTGAAGTAGGTTATGATATAAAGTATGTATTTATATCAAGTGTACAATCTGGCCGTGGTTGCGCTGTACACGTGCGAGCCATCGCCTCTAAATATATATTGTAGCAAGGCATGATGAATCAACCTACTCCCTACTTTCGAGGATTTTTACTACGCTTATTGTACCGGTGGGCACGCCATATGTACTCAGTGATGGTTGTTTGACCTGGTGTTGAGGCCCGACCCAAGTATTCTTGACAGCAAGTGTGTCTCGTTGTGTACGAATGTATTCAGCCGAGTTATATTCTATTCTTGTAAACGTAATGGTGTGAGCAATATCCAAAGCTGTTCGACGCTTTAAAACAACAATGCCATCTCATCTCGAAACTTATCTCTCAGACACTTATAATAAAGCTCGGCCAGATGAGACCATGTCAATCGCTAAAGTTTATTTCCCGGTATCTACTGAGAATTTGTTCCTGTTCCGGTGTGCATATATATATATATATATATATATATAGCTGCCCTGTGCCACAGGCATCCACTCAGGAAGCGTTTCTGTCCCGGTGCACATTTATATTTTATACCACATATGCTGCGATTTACATAGTCTTCTGAAAATTGAACAAGAATACTATTCGATTTAACACAAGCAATGAAATTTCGAGAACTTAAATTTTTTGGCACGGAGCAAGTGGAAGGAACCCGCCTGCCGTCCAGAAGTGCGCTTGTCATTCGTCTACAAAAATTGGTTTGTGGCATACACATTCTTGTGACAATCCTTATGGACTATATATTTATTTGAAATAGGCTGATACCACCGATAAGCTACATATGATAGGACTCGACATTTGTATCCCACACGCACACTGGATTTACGAATATGAACAAAAGAGCGCACCAGGGACAGATCACGCGCAGAGAAGATCGAGGTGTACGAGGAGGGTATAGGGCAATCGAAACTACTGGTAGCACGGTGCATATGGCCAGCTGCGTGTTAGCTAGGGTCTACTGTATGATAGAGTTCCCATAAGCGTGTCCGTTTGGGATACATTGTGCATATCTTTTGTGACCGACCATTTGGGAAGGCAGTACAACAGGGTATGGACTAACAATCGCTCATCGGCTGTGCAGCTAGTACACAGGCTGGCAACGCCTACTGTGAGCATAGTACAGCCGGTCAAACAGAATAACTAATCCAGCAATAATGAAGTACGAAACCCTTTCCGAACGGCTATAAGTGTTTCTAGCAACTGCATCATGCCTAACATTCTGAATATCACACCCCTATACTAGCACGCTCCCACATATGTGCATGGGCACTACAATAAAAAAATACTACTGCGTGGAAGCGGACAATACGTTAGTTTAGTTTATTGGCGTTGTCCAGGAGCGTTCAGCATACACTGAGCCCATTTCTGCTTCGCTCGGGACGCAAAAAGGCTCATGCGTGCCTTCCGATCGGCTACTTGAAACGACCTCAGAAGAATTCACACTCAGTACATACGTCTGTCATCGGACTATCGACACATCTGAGATCAGCGGATGTGCCTCTGCCCAAAGCTCAGTGCTACCTTGGTAGGTATGAACATATGTCGAGTTATCAATTGCGATCCCTGAACCATACGTACCCTTATAGTGGTGGCGGCGCCTGTTCCAACATGGCCCATGTTTAGAAAATCTGGACACGGCCACTGCGCAGCAAGCAGTTGACGAGCTCGGGTTGTACTACATAAACAAACGTGCATCGGAGCAAGGCAGAAAGTACAATTTGCCGGCGACTGTGTGCCCTATATTCGACCAATAAACCATACCCTCCGGACTCATCCCTCGGTAGTTGGGCGGGCGAGTTGGCATTTCACAGGCGCATATTGTTACGGAAACTGGACGTGTCGTCTGTTCACTGAAGTAAAGGCGACGTGCCGCGGAGCATGCTAACGTGCCATGCTGTTATTACCATAGTAACGTAGTGAACGTGACGCGATTACCACAGGCAACTGTGAGTAGGACTTAACTAACCACCGCAGTCGATGGGGAATGTAATGTGCTGCTCTGCTGGACTGGCGCACTCTTGCCCAACACAGCATACGTTACAACCTCTGCTGTCTTGTATGTCTCGTATGTATCTGTGGGTTGTTTCGCCCAGAAAATACGTAACCATGCTTACGTGTCTAGAGCTGCTATCTGATAGACGACTGTTCTTGATTCTCCGGTGCGTTGGTTAAAAGTGTACGGCGACGCTCTTGACGTGTGCTCGGCCATATTTTAACGACTAAATACTTTACACTGGTGGAGCATGCGTGCGTGTCCGTGTCTGTAAGTGCCTTACAGTACACCACTCCGCAACCAATGGTCAGTGATACGAGTGATCAGATAAGCTCGGCGCCGAATTCTATAAATAGAACATCCCCCTAAGCCAAGCATCACTCACCCAAGGGCCTCACTTCGGGATCGGGTCACACCAGACGAAGTAGCCGACGCTGCGGTGGAGTAAGTCACATGAACTAGCGCAATACCCCAGACACTCAAGTCCAGAAAACACGCACCTCTGCGATATGTGCGGCAGGACATTAATTGTCCATTCGTCTTCCAAACGAGGACTTGCCTGGCCCAATGCACCAACTTGATATGACCCCGGCCCTTCACAGACTCATCTCCAAACTACTTGACAGCGAAGTACACTCTCAGATAGCACTATGGCCCACAGGAGAATACCCCACGAGCACAATGGTAGCACTTACAACAGGACGATTCCAGTGCGTGCCACTATCGCATCAGATGTCACTATAGGACAACATACAGGATAATCATGATGATCAAAGCCACCGACAGGATCAAAATAGCGTAGTACTGCTTCTTGTCTGTAGGCGCAGAGGGCAGGTGAGAAGGAGAATCGTCAGTGGAATGCGTGGTCATGGCAACTTGGTCTATGAGCAGCACTAGATGGATATCTTGAGCAGAATTACGTCAAGCGTGTACACCGCAAGCACGGAACCCGTAAGCACGTATGTGTAGGTTAACAACTGTTGTCATGAACATCATTGTGCTAGTACAACTAACACAAACACACCTAGACATTGGCATGACTACGCTGCATACTCGCATGCTGGCAGGGCAACCAATACCTTGGTATAGGTATACAGAACTTTAGTCCGGACGAGTATGACCCGTTAATTATCTAGATACTGCTACCATGACACAGGTGAACACTTTATAAAGTGGCATAAATCGGACTCATCACTGACACACTCACATAGTAGCATCAACCAGATTTACCACTAACGGCTTTTAGATAGTAGTAGATAGTAGTATTAAGCAGACTTTTATATAATGCCATTAACCAGACTTACCACTGACCGACTCGAGGATCTTCTCCACCTTGCCCACCACACGTTGCAGCTGACTCTCCGTACGTTCCATTTGATCGTCAAGATCGTCTAACAGCCTACGAGTAGTTGAAGAGCCGTATGTGAGAGAGGGAGGGATAGGCGGTTACATGCACAAGGCGAAATACACTCATGGTTCTATACGTTTTAAGTTGTCACATAACATATAAACCTAGTATTCCATGGTGACCATATAACAGCAGCAAAACATTAAGACCAGGAACAAGCAGAGATACGAAGGCCAGCTAAGTCAGAGATGAAACATGTTGTGCTATTTGAGCATAACCCACATCGTATTGTGCTTCTGGTTGAGTATGGATTGGCCACGGAACGCTTGCACACCCCCCCCACACACACCACGCGTAAGATATGTTGCACGTACGGCGCTGAAGACGGCTATGAACCCCCCAACAGCCATATCCCCATCCCCACCATCCAACGCCAGCGTACAACAGACAAAGTACAAAGCTTGCCCCGGAGATACGAACACAGGCGCAACCAACGTCCTTGCATCTATGTAGCACACTAGAATTGTCGTGGGCATACGTCTATAATAAACTGAAGCACATACACATTGTGGTCGTCTAGTTCGCGTCCGATGTCTTTGCCCAGGGTCTTGAGATTGACCACGGTGTCACCCACCATCTCCATGTTGCGATCTTGCTCCGCCATCTCCAGCTGTACGGAGAATACCATCCAAGGGTAGAAAGATTCTATTAGATCGACCCAACCAACCCATGCTAGGTATAAAACAGATATGTAACATTCGAGGGTACAAGATAAATCGACTAAACTCACTCATATTCGGTATGTAATTGTAAATGACATTCAAGTGAACAGGATAATTGTACTAAACTCACTCAAATTAAGTATGCAAATATAAATAACATCGATAAATCGACTAAACTTGCCCATAATATATACGCGAACGTGCATGTATGTATGCATGTGGGGGGACTATATATATATATATATATATATATATATATATGTGTGTGTGGGTGGGGGTGGGGGGTAGGGTAGTAGTAGTATAGTGTGCACGTAGTCGGTGGTAGTAGTAGTACGTACGTACGTACGTACGTAACGTACGTACGTACCTATAGTAGTAAGTAGTACGTAAGTAAGAC